TGGGTCCAGGACTCAAACTATGGTTGACTACGTTGGAGTCCAGTGATGTAACCATTATACCTTCTGCTGGTCCCAAGATTACCTAGCCTAATTGTATACTATGTGCCAGGTTTTCACTCGGTTTATTTAATACTCAGTAACCCTATGGCTAAAGTATAGTCATCATTTTCTGTCACATATCCCTGATATAATTGGGGCACAGAAAAATCTCAAATAATGTACTCCAGATACCAGAAGTGGCAGAGCAAGGATTTAAACTCAAGGAATCTGACTCCGAAGTCCTTGAATTTAACTACTGCACTTAACTCAGGAAGACCGCATACTGCAGTCTAGAAAATACAGTCCAGAGGTATGAACTGTGGAGTAGCTTGAGAGCTAAATGTCATCCTGGTGTGAATTTCCCGCCGGACAATTTGGTCTTCACATTTCATCACCAAGATGTATGTATTTCATTATCATCACTAGAGGTGCCCGTGCCTTGGGTGATGGAACCAAGGTTTTAATGTTATAGCAAAAGATGAGAACCGTTCTGTGAGTAGCATGCTATTGGCATACACTTGTCCAAAAGAATGTTCAAGAAGAAGAAGAAGAAGTAGTCTGTGGCATTAATAGGGAAGGCTCTGCCAGCCCAGTGTCAGCCAATTAGTCATCGGGGTACAGGGCACATGTGTACCCCAGTGGGCCTGAGAGCACAGGGCACAGTGCCATATGACGGAAATAAACAGGCAGAAGTGTAAAGTGATAGGAGATGGTGGTGGTAAAATATTGTAGTTCTCTAACCACCTAAAGATTACACTCAGGTAGAAGCGGCTGGGTGCAGTTATAATCTGCATAATGAAAGCAAGAAAAGCTGCCAGCTTTTCATACTTCTCAAACCTTTGCAACAACTTAATCTGAAATCTTAACTCAGGGAGCTCTAAAGGGAGCTAGTGAGGGTGTGTGTGTGTGTGTGTGTGTGTGTGTGTGACACATATATATTCAAAGGCATCTCAAACCTCAACTGTACTATTAACCAGAATGATGATTCATTCACGTTCATACAGTAGTAATGATCCTTGGGTCTGTAAATGCGCAGTAGTGTCAGATCTTAATCTGAAAGAAACATGCATTATTTCATTTTCTTTCGGAGTATTTTTTTCCTATACAAGCAATTCACATGCTGTACCCCTCAAAGTGCATATGTGTAACACATGTTATAATTTAAGAAAAGGTCATGGCTTTTGCTGATGGAAGACTAAGACATTTCCCTCAGAAACATGTTTACAACCTATTATATAGAGAAATACATAGAGAGACCCACGCATACAGATATACCCTACCCCCAACCCACACCGGCCTCTTTCTTTTCTTTTCTCTTCATTTCTTTTCTTTTCTTTTTTGAGAGAATTTTTTGCTATAGGGCATGTGTACTCGCCAGAGAGAGAGAGACAGACAGACAGAAAGTGAGAAATAACCTCTCAGGGGGATAATCACACTGGACTCCCATGTAGTTGACCATGGGCAAGAAATCACCTCCCAGGGGGATGGCTACACCACAATCCCTTCTCCATTCTCCTCTCGGGATTTCAGGCACGTGTGCACACGTACCTGGTGTGAGTTTTAAGCTTCTGGGTCTGGGACTTGAACTGCAGTCGACTACGTGGGAGTCTAGCGATGTGACTATCATGTCATCTGCTGGTCTCCACACTGGCCTCTTTCAGTAGGTCCCCTTAAACTTTAAAATATAAGAAGTCATTATTCTGAATGTCAGAGATACCATGTTGAAAATATGGAAAAATGAAATCATCTGTTGCTTCTTTTGTGTTAGGTTGAAACCAGCCCAATTCAGAGTTCCCTTCTGCTTTAGGTTAGAAGTTCTGAAATAAGTTACAGTCCCAAAGCCCAAGGCCCCAGACCAGAGAGACGCCGAAGACTCCATGGCAGAGCGTCCCTTTAACATCGACCTCTTCACAGTAAATGAACGTGTGTCCCTGTGGGAGAAACAGAGTCTTCATGTTTTCCTTTGTGGAATTCAGCTCATGGAAGAGTTCTGGGGAAAAAAAAGAAATCCAGGGAAAAACTACAACAGTGTATGAGTACAAATAGGAAAATGAGGAACTCTGGGGATGGCGTGAGGCATTTGGAAGAGTTGGCCAGGTACTCATGCATACCGTATGCAAGTACATCATTTAGGGGCCGTGGAAAAAGCCTGGGGAGGGAAGTTAGGTGGACAGAACAGGTCTTCGTGACTTTTGGAGAAAGATGGTAGCAGCCTTGTGGAAGGGCTGCACTGCACACGAAAGGGAGCAGAGGTAGCCAGGGCGTACTCTGGCCCTCCCGCGCCAGCCCTCGGATCCTCTGGTCATCGTGCCAGATGGTCCTGCATGCTGCTAAGCTCACCTGTCTTGTCAGTTTCTTAATTATTTAAATCTGCTCTGGAAGAAAAAGTAATAGTAATCGGTCTTTCCCCTCCATTTCTACTTCATAAATGTGCATTGTATGGGTCAGCTCTGTGGTGCAGAGTTATGGGCCACTCAAGAGAAACTGGATCCCCACTCAAGAGAAGTTAAATCCCCAGCTTGGTCATTTTGAAACACACCAGGCACGCCTACAAGTGCCCAAGATCTGAAGGACTAGAAGACCGAGGAAGGGAATTACCACTTGCCCAGACCTGTGGAAGGCGCTTCTCTCTCTCTCTCTCTCTCTCTCTCTCTGTCTCTCGCACATACACACACACACACACACACTCACTCACTCACTATCATAAATAAAAAGATAATTTGTAGTGATAGGAAGCAAAATTGCACATCATCACACCCACCTCCATCGTATGAAATGGTAACCAGCTACACAGACCAAAGGTACTTCACCTCTAACTCCTGTATTTTTCCAGTCTGTAGAATTTTAATCCCTAGATTTTCCACTTTTGCACTAACTCCTCAGCCTTTTCATTACTTCATTTTATCTCATTTCTCAAATGGCTCTTGAGATGTAATGTCTTCAGACATCATCTTAAATAAATCTGCATATGTTAACAACCACCACAACAAAATCCAGGTCAGATGTTTTAAAATGCAAGCATATTTTTAGAACACCAGAAAACCATGTTCTTATTTTGTAACTTCAGCAACAATTGCTCTAGATCTCGAAAAGAATTACTGTTTAGAAAAGGAGAGTAAGGAAGGACATATAATTTCTTCATGAGCCAGGTGGATTTACTGTTGTAGAGGGTTTTTTTTTTTGATTTTTGTTTGTTTTTTTATTAGCTAATGTTGGTTTAAATTTTTATAATCTAGTGCTAGGATGAACAAATGAGAATCCATTTTTTTAAATAAAATCTAGAAGAAGGTAGCATACTACTAAAAAATTGATGTGAAGTATTAAATTAGAGTATTATTTTATGCTTTTGAAAATATTATTGTTATTGCAAGGTGAATTTTTGCAGTAGTATTATGATGTGGATAACCAATATTGATTTTAAGATTTTCACACTATATAAGCAGAAAACGTAAGGCACAAGATTTAAGATGCGGAAATGCTGCTGAGGCAGCTTTAACAGTGAATTAGATTCCCATTAGGTAGTGTTCATTGAGAGGGGATGTGCATATGCAGGGTTTTTAAAAATTTTAAAGAGACAGGATCATTTTTATTTCAGAGTACCAACAGGCATTATTTGGTATCAGAAGCATGGCTTGCAGTGTTCTCTGTGTAAGCTTTCATCACTATTCAGAATTTTCACTTCTTTGGGAACCAGCAGTTAGCGTAATGGCTGTGTCGCTGGACTCCCACGTAGTCGACCGCGGTTCGTGTCCCGGACCCGGTGGCTTAAAACTCACGCCGGGCGCGTGTGCGTGCGTGCCCAAGATCCCGAGAGGAGAATGGAGGAGAAGGGATTGCGGCATGACCATCCCCCCTGGGGGGTGATTTCTCGCTTTCTGTCTCTATGTCTCTCTCTGTCTGTCTGGCGAGCGCACGCGCCCTACAGTGAAAATCTCTCCCCCCCAAAAAAAAAAAATACAATAAAAGAATTTTCACTTTTTTTAAGTGCACTGTTATATTTTTAATAGACAATTCATAAGTTAACAGCAAATGATAAATTGTCCTTTTTCTTCTTCAGAAGAAGTTAGATGGAGAAAAGACAGTTGATGCAAAGAAAAGAGTGTAACTGCGAAATTCAGGGCTGTTATCATACTTTAACCATAATTTTTAATTAAGCCATTTTGCATTTATTGTGCCAAATTAGGGTCACTAGTGTTACTAGATTAAAACCTTTCTTGTTTGTTTTGATGTAGAACTTCTGGTTTGCAATTTCTTCATCTAACAGACCAGCGATGAGTTCATCAGTATCTTCAAGCCAAGTGACTTTTTTTTTAATTTTAGAAGATGTCTAATTTTATCAAAATAATATTTTATCAAAAGAAGTTAAAATGTAGTAGTTTGCTAGCATAAAAAATATTAAAAAGCAAAATGATATTGATAGGCTTTGAAAGAGAAGGATCTTTGTGGGCATTTAAAACAGCAAGGAATGACAGGGCCATGGTGAAGAGCAGGCTAATTAATTGGAGAAGTCAAAGCAAGATATCTTTCTTTATTGATGTGCCATCTACTGAAAATTAGTAGAAGTTAGTCCTAAGTAGCTAACCACAAACCGAACCCCCTGGGTACTAACTTCCCTAAAGCACTGAAATAGGAAGCGGAGGAAGAAACTTGCAAAAGAAACCCTCAGGGATTCCCCTGTGATCCCTTTAATCCTTGAATTGTCAAACCACATGGAAAATAATAGAGCTGCGTAGTTCTGAGACTTAAGTGGTATTATCTTTTTAAAAGAAAATATTAGGTCTCTTCACTTCTCTGGACAAGAATAGTGTATGTGTTCGTTGTAGGGAAGAGTAACTTAGAACCGGAGATGTACATTGCTTTTTCATTTGTAATACACTATTATTATTTTCTATGACTAAGCAGGCTGTACCCCATAGGAAAAAAATTATAGCCAATATTTTATTTTCCTTTTTTTAAAACAGATGATTCAACGGGAAGCAGATGTGAAAAGTAAGGTAACTGCTGTGGCCTTGACAGACTCCGTTCACAACGTGTGGCATCAAGAAGCTGGCAAAACGATTCGAGAATGGATGAGAGAGGTGAGACTTGGTTTTTTTTCCAATGCTGAGATGAATGGGTATGAGCCTTTCTACCTTGAGTCCCCACCATCTCCCACCCCCACACTCCCTGCCTAGAGGCAGAGCATTGAGAGGGAATAAAAAAAACTAGAGAGGTTAAAATAATAACAGAAAACCCTTCTGAAGAACAAATACTTTTTTGCACGCTCCCTTCCTTTGGAGGCTTTCTGAAGAGTATTTTCTATGCGTACACAATACATAGTAGGCACTTTGGCTGAAGAAAAAAGCCCTTGGTGTTAGGACATTCTTCTTCCCTGATGTTGGATTTTTCCACCAGCTCTTTAACACTGGTATTGTTTAATTATGAGAAGGAAGCTTCATCCTTTTCCTTCTCGAAAGGCGGTCAGTATGTGCCATTCTCATATGGATTGGCTTACTACTGCCAGTAGGGGGAGAAGTGAAAATCTGAAATGGTGTTTTGCCAGACACCGAGCTGGGAGAAACCCAGGGGCTGGCCATGGTCCAGCCTCGGGCTAAGAAAACTTCTTTCTGCTGTCTAAGGGCCAGTGAACGGAAAACTAATGAGGACTCATTAAACAGGCTTCCATTTTTTTTTTTTTAACTTTCAGCCCACTTTTCTCTTTTATATTCCTATTACAGATATCCTGCTAAATTTTTAAAATTGATATGTGCCTTTCTAATATTATAAGTAATTGATATCAGCTACCCCAAACTACAGTAATTGTTCAGTCAAATCATTTACTTACATATGTATATTTAAGTGAATGCACTGGTTGACCTTGGTTTTCTTCCACTTTTCATTAATTAAATACCCTGGTCTGGTCTAGTCTGGTCTGGTCTGGTCTGGTCTTTTCTTTTTTCTTCCTCTTTTTTTTTTTTTTTTCAACTATACCGTGTATGTGCTCTCCAGAAAGAGACAAAAGAGATGGAAAGTGAGAAATCACTCTCTCCCCCAGAAAGGATGGCCACTACCTCAATCCCTTCTCCGTTGTCCCCTCGAGTTTCTGGGCTTGCATGTGTGCACGTGCACCTGGCATACTTTTTAAAACCGCCAGATTTGGGACTCAGAGCATGGCACAGCTAGCCACGTAGAACCCAGCACCTTAACCACCATACCACCTGCTGGCCCTGCAGGTGTTTCTTTATCAGACTTTTTATCATAGGACTGTGCGGTGGGTAATTTCTATCAGCCCTCATGATGGACTATGAAGACCAGAGAGTTAATGTTTTTTGTTTGCTTTTAAAGTTTATTTCCTGGCAAGCAGGTGGTATGGTGGTTAAGACACTAGACTCCCACATGGCCAACCATAGTTTGAGTCCTAAATCTGGTTGCTTGAAAGTCACACTGGGGGTGTGTGTGTGTGTGTGTGTGTGTGTGTGTGTGCCCAAAATCCCAGGAGGAAAATGGATTGTGATGTGGCCATCCTTCCTGTGGGATGATTTCTCACTTTCCCTCCTACTATCTTTCTCTGTCTCTCCAGCGAGCGCACATACCCTATAGCAAAAATAAATAAATAAATAAATTCCAATGTTTTTTATGGAAGAAAGAGACATAGACAGGCACTCCTGACAGAGTCTCACTTTGCTACCTTTTCCCACCCCAGCCTTTTAGACAATCAGGATCACAGGCATGACCACACACCCAGCATGTGTAGGTTGACTCAAAAGCCAAACCTGTCTTCCACATGGCTCCCAGCATCGCAGAGCACTGCATTACCACTGTCCTACCCTGGCTGCGCCCGAAAAGAGTTTTGACCAGATAGGATTATGTTGTATAACCCCGTAGTAGTGTTATAATATCTCCAGTCTGCTTTCACTGTTATTATTCTATACGTGAAAAAAATACTTTCATCACTCGAAAGCCCAAGTATTTTAAACCTTTCCTCATAATACTATGGATACATAAATGTGAGTTGTTAAATCTATCCTTATATGCAGGCATTTTCTGACTGTATTGCTATTTCCATTTCTTCTTTCATGGGGTAGCTATATTCTTAATTGCCCTTTTCAAGGGTCTAGACTTTGGAGGAACTTTGGTGTATTTAGTGCCTGTATATTTTTATGCCGTCCATCTGTCCAAATGAACACATGACTCCCAACATTATATAAGTAGTAAGGTCCATAGATAATAACAAATGAAAAATTTTCTCCACAAATAACAGACATGGAATTTAGTACTTGGCCCAAACTAGAAACATTCATGTTCATCATTTTTTAATTGGGAGTTCTTCATGTAAATCTCATTCCAAGTGACAAATATAACAAAATTTGTTTGGATTTCCTCATTAAGGATTTTTAACAACAACAACAAAAATATCCTGTAATGTTCTGCAAATATCTCCCCAAGAAAAACACACTAGCTAACAATATATTAATCTGTGCATTTTTTATCTGACTAAAATAGACAATAATTGAATTCATCTTAATTAATCAGGCTGCCATTAATTTCTTTGCAAGCATAGCTTTTATAAAATTTACAAAACTTCATAATGCCCTAGTTCTTAGATAGTTATTTCCGTTCCCTTAACTGGGCCTTAGGGAAGAAGGGTGAAGAGGCTTGTATTCTGACCTACCAAAGTGGGAACCCCACTCAATCACTTACCTAGCTGTGTTGTCTTAGACATGTTATTTAATCTCTTTGAGATTCACTATTCTCATCTATAAAATATAATACCAACCTTGCAAACATGCTTGGAAATAACATATGTAAAGAAATGTGAGAAATTGATGGCACTTTCAAGAACTTCAGTAAATTACAGCTATTACTGTTTTACCTTCTTGCTCTCAAATAACACAAAATATGAGAACTATATTCGTCTTTTGCTTTATTAAAAACTTGCATATTTGAAATATTTTATAAAAAGGAAGCAGGGTGACATACTAGAAGTAATTCAGAGCAAGCAGTTAGAACCAAGTTTTGATGGTGATTCTGCCTTAGTCTCTGTCTAGATAAGTCGGTAATTAAGGCTCTGACATGTGCCAGCTACTTAGCTAAGATTTATAACATTGGACAAGCCACTTTCATCTTTTGGGGCATTTTTCATAATTGTGAATTAGAGTCAATAATCCCTGTTATACATACTTTGTAAACTATTGCAAGAATAAAGATGACAATCAAAAAGAAAATCACTTGAAAAGCCAATGGTACCACTATAGCAATGAATTGTAGTATAATAAAAAACACTATTATACCCTGGAGATAAAAATTATTTCATTGTTTTTTATGTCATTTTGAAATTTCCTTGCTCAAAACTCTTCCCCAAAGTGAGAACAAAAAGTCTTTGACAGATACCCTTGAAGGAACCCACTTAACTGTGAGACCCCAGTAGAGATTTCGGTGTGGTTTGGCAAGATAAGACTCCAGTGTTGCCCAACCCTTAGGATGAAATTCCATCTCCTTTTCTTTCTATTTTCTTGGTCCCTGTCTGCTTTCCAAGACTCCCTGAAATAACTAAGAGTAAACAAGCTGGGACTCCAGTAAATAGAAAGGTCTGTTCTCTTGACCATGAGTATCTCTCTCATCTCTCATGAGTATTGAGAGATGAACATGGTACGGTCCCTCAGAATCCTCCTTCCTTACAGTCTCCAACTCTAGCTCCAAGTGGAATCAGGAAAAAAATTTAAAAAATTAAAAAATTAAAAAACCCTGAGATATTTTGCAGTATCCCTCCCAAGCAAAGCACTTCAGTTTAGGTTGGAATATTGTCCAAAAAGATAACAGTGTTGCTGTATGGGAAGCCTCAGTACTTTCATCCTCAATCATTTGCTCCATTATCTCACCAAACACTGCTTTAAAATTTAGAAGTAAGAGGGAACCAGCAGTTAGCGTAATGGCTATGTCGCTGAACTCCCACGTAGTCGACCGCGGTTTGTGTCCCAGACCCGGTGGCTTAAAACTCACGCCGGGCGCGTGTGCGTGCGTGCCCAAGATCCCGAGAGGAGAATGGAGGAGAAGGGATTGCGGCGTGACCATCCCCTCTGGGGGGTGATTTCTCGCTTTCTGTCTCTATGTCTCTCTCCGTCTGTCTGGCGAGCACACGCACCCTACAGTGAAAATCTCTCCAAAAAAAAAAAAAATTTAGAAGTAAGAAAGAAAAAATTTAGAAGTGGGGCAGCAGTGCACATGGCCTCGTCCTTGCTATTATACTAAATATCAGTAATGATGCATATGGTATTACCCTCTATTTGGTTGTCAGGTACTACCTACACATTTTGAAAAGCCATATTATGTGCTGTAAAAATGTGCAATGATGGAATGTAAATTTTAAAAATTTTGGGAACCAGCACGTGGTGCAGTGGTTAAAGCTAGACTCCCTCACAGGGATCAGCAGGTGGCATGGTGGTTAAGGCATTGGACACTCACACATGGTGGGCCATGGTTCGAGTCCTGGACCTGGTGGCTTGCTTTCTAACTCTCTTTCTCTCTCTCTGTGTCTCTCTCTGGTCAAATTAAAATAAATGAAGGAACAAATAAAATTAAATAAGTAGTTCTAAAAAAAAAATCGTAAACTGCTAGAGGATGCAAGCGTCTACTGGTTAGCAATGCCCATTTCTCTCTTCCCCTTAGTTACAGACCCTCATTGCCATCCCCCCCCCCACCTCTCTTTCTCTTTCTCTCTCTGTGTTGCTTTCTGCTGAATTAAAATATAATAATAATAAATTAAATTAATTCTTTTAAAAAATTTTAAAGATTCTTTTTAAAATATAATATTTTTGGTTTCTAAGCATGTTTAAATTAATGTGATAAAGTTATTAAGTGTTGGGACCAGCAGTTAGTGTAATGACTATGTCGCTGGACTCCCATGTAGTCGACCACGGTTCACGTCCCGGACCTGGTGGCTTAAAACTCTCGCTGGGCGCATGTGTGTGCGTGCCCAAGATCCCGAGAGGAGAACCAAGGAGAAGGGATTGCAGCATGGCCATCCCCCCTGGGGGGTGATTTATCGCTTTCTATCTCTCTGTCTCTCTGTCTGTCTGGCGAGCACATGCGCCCTATAGCA